AACTTTGCCACCATAGTCCCCCCAAATATTCACGCAAATCACCAGGCAGAGCCATTAATTGACCGGAAACCAGCTCAAGTCATAAAGGAAAGAATGAGCTGGACAGAACTGTAACTTACTTGGTTTGCTGAATTTATAGAATCAGGATGAAATAAACATAACTGACATTTCATATCTCTGCCACACTTTAAGTACAGGTCAGATCCTACCAACAGGTTTCAACCAAACAGCTAGNTTTAAGTACAGGTCAGATCCTACCAACAGGTTTCAACCAAACGGCTATTCATAAAAGGCAATGCTGTGACACATTTTATGGGACAGAGTGTTTTCTGATCGCAAGACTTCAACATTTAGTTAGGGATGCAAAGATGCACATTAGGTAAAATTAGAAGACAGCCCAGTCTATTATAGCCTGCTAAACTATAGGGAGGGGATAATTAGGGGGAAAGTAATAAACATATGTAAGTGGCTTATTATATAGTAATCAGGCCAGTTCCCCACTGTCAACAAGGTATTACATTAGCTTTTCCTCTTGGTGATCACCCTACCGAGTCACCGCTTTGTTTGCAAGTGCAGGGCAGCTGGAATTGTTTCTATTTGATGCTGTTAGGGGCAGGGGACTCCTACTGAATGCCTACCAGGCACGGCTAAGGCTCAGGGGCCTCCCGTTTCATCACATTTCATTCCCCATACTGGGGGGAAGAGTAAATAATATCTCCAATTTAAAATTGAGGAAACTGAGGGCTCGAGGATTAAGAAATTTGCCCTGAGATGCAAATAGTTATTTTTGGAGACATAATATTCAGAGACGTTTTCGTTCTCTCCATAACCACCATCAAGTAAGGAAAAAAGTAAACATGTCTATTCCTCTCGCTAATATATTCTGAAGTCATTCGACTTGGGGGCTGCTCTCACTCATCTTTTCAGTGTAAAGAACATAATGGACTAAGAATATTACTTACAACTCTGAAATACAAAAGGGTTTTGTGGATAACTGGGTTGTGGTCTCGCGAAGAGGCTTCCCATTCTAACTCCAGCTTCCAGCCGTACGTGGTGCATTTTTATACCGTTCACGATTAAATTGCCGTAACAGCATCTTAAAGGACCCGGAATAGTAATGCGAAAATTCTCCACATGTGGTATGAAAAGATTAGACAAGTCTTAAGCAGGCAGGGACTTCAATCCTGCTGATAATACAGTGGAGAAATTATACTCCATAAAGGCAGGGGAAGGAGCAAGGGTTTAGCGAAAGGAAGATATAATCAGGGGACACAAACCTTTCTATAAATCAAGCCCTTCTATTCTGGGTGACTATTTCACAAACTGGATCTTGGGCTGTTGATCTCTTTAAATGATTATTACAAAATGTATGCAGTTTTGCAAAGAGTTGCTGGCTGATTTATATTTCAGGCATATTTTCCATTAGTGTTTATTTATTGAGAATATGGTTTTCATAATAGAGTTGATATTTTCAAATAGTAGGGAGAACTTGAATTCAATTTGTATAAAAGCTATGTAATTTCAGTATACAATTACTACATCATATTTGGGAAAACAGTGATAAAAGGAGCCACCACCAAACGCATACTCAGACGAAAGACATTTTCAAAAGATAAGATCATTTTTGTCAGGGAGAGAAATAATGATGGGAACGTCCCCCCGCCCCCCTTGCCTCTAAATTCTGATATTCTAGTCAAATTACAAAATCAGCCTTTGCACTTGCTCTGAAATCACAGAAAGATGAGCTTATAAGAAGTTGAGAGAGAGTTCTAGAGAGAGGAGCAGGCGCNACAGAAAGATGAGCTTATAAGAAGTTGAGAGAGAGTTCTAGAGAGAGGAGCAAGGAGCAGGCGGAGGGAGAGGGAGAGAGGGGAAGAGAAGGGAGAAGAGGGGAAGGGGGACCAACAGGGAATGAACACCGGATCTTTAGAATGTTCCATTTCCCTCAGCAGTTGGTGCATTATTGAGCAGGCTTGGAGAAAATGAAGTATTCCTTATGCTAGAGCTATTTTTAAATCACCAAAATGGCATTTTGTGTTAACAATAGAAGATAAAAAACACATGCAATACCTATTAGTCATGATCGCATAACTTATTTATCCTAATGTCTGTAATAAGACAGCAAGTGAGCCGAACAGTGCTCTTAATCGAAATGAATTGGAAGAGTTGGCTAACTGCTTCGGACATGTAGAGGATATTCTCAACGCGCTGTTTAGGCTGATTGTGCCCATCTACCTATTTAGTAAGAGAAGAATTTCCCAACGGCCATTCTCAATGAAACAGACTCAGGTCACCGAGCAAATGAACAGTGGTCTGCAAAGGCAAGGGTTCCTGCTCCATCCACAGTGGTATGAACAGAGGTGATTTCATAACACGATGCTGTGATGCGAGGCCAAAATATAGCTAGCATCCTAAGGCCACTGTCACCGCCCTTCATGAAAAAAAATTCAAGGCCCCTTCATGTTTCTAAAGCAGAAGGATTCTCCATTTTCACTTTCTAGAGAAAAGATAACTTACATGAGATAACAGTACCAGCGAGCCCCATATTTTATTCAGCCAGGCATGCAGTTTCTATTTTGTGCTTTACCATCATTTATGCTAATTTTTAAGCAAAATAGACGCTGATAGAGCCCAGGGCCCAGAGCCCACTGGAGTGCTCTGCACAGATTCTCACACTGCTTTCTGAATGAGGAGTCATGGAAGATATACAAAGGACCCAGGCAGTGGTCTTTGTAATACAGCACTTATTTGAGGAGGTTGGCATGATATGATTTAGGCGTGGAGAAGTAATTCAATACTATGCCTCAGCCATCACAGGTAATGGGCCCACAGCTAATTTGTGAGCCAGTTGGTAATATTTCATTTAACAACTTCTTACAAGTTTCCTTACTTTAGTTGTTTTGTTATTGTTATATATTTAGAATATTTGCTTTCCCTAGAAGCTTCTGATACCCTTCAGTGCTGTTGCTTCATTACATACATGGGCTTTTTTAATGTGCCTCAGACAGCATGGAACAGTGTTAGGAACACACTAGATGTTCACTAATGCACTTATAATGATTTATGTCATTATTTTTCTTTTATAAAATTAAGTGTGATATAAATAATTACTGTCTGATTTTTAAAAATTAATAATACTAAAAATGGCAGAAAATATTGTATCCTATTGTAAATTTTTTATGAAGTAAGGCATTATAATTAGTCAGTGTCAAAATAGAAAATTCTTGTCCTTTGTCTTGGAAAGTTGGCATAAAAATGAGTCAAAAACACACTGTAAATTGATTTCTTAAACTGGATACTTAGAAACACTGGTATTGATAGAAAAAAAAAATAATGCTACTCAGTCTTAGAAAGTGAGGCTGACGACCCAGGACTTCTATCAGAAATGTAATCATGGCCAGTCAGCCCTGAAAAGTATGCTAACACAATTCTAGGGTTACCATTAGGATTAGGAAGTGAAGAATTCAGATTATCCATAAAAACGGAATCTTTAGAAAATAAATATGTTTTTAAGTTTTACCATTAGAAAATTGAACAATATTTTTCTTTAGAGAGTTTTTTATGGGTTTTTAAACTCAGTCTGTATATAATATGGCATATATCAGTTTTGAAAATGTATGTTTTGATGTAATTTGTTTTTATTAAACTTCATAGATTAAAAATAGCAAATATTTATAAAATTTATTGATTCTATACAGTATATAATTGAAGAAGAGTGAATCAATAAAGAAACTGATGATTCAAATAGTATGTTAACATAGACATTGTGAAGTGGAAATCAACATTACCTGTGATTTAAATCCAAAGAACAACAAAACAAAACATTCTTCAGGACAGAAACCTGGAAATGGGACCAGCTTCACAGGTACAATGACCAGGGAAATTGCAGAAGGACCCAAGCTCAGAGGGGTCATGCATGGTGCATGGCTTAATGTCCTGCTGTAGCTTCTGGGTCCTGCAAGTTAGTTAGCTGGTCCTGCCTGTGAAACTGCATTTCCTAAAGATTATCTGAAATCTACACATTATTATGCCTTCAAAGATGCTACCTGAGGTATTATTTCTATGAGGCAAATATTTCTAAGACTTGTACCGCTAGCCCACTCCCTTCCTCCCCCCAATTTGTTACCACCTTGTCTTTGTAGCCATCACCAAGTGGAAGAAAGAATGGAGATGTTGCCAAGTGCAGAGCATGAGACCAGCATCCGCGCCATATATCTGAGCACTCCTGCTCTATCGTCGTCATCAAATTTTAAAATTTTTAAATAAAATAAAGCTGGCAAACTGCTCATCGGTAATCGATCTTTTCAAATGACATAAGAAATTTAGGAGAAACCAACATTTTCTAAGGTGCAGAAGTATTTTCCAAATGCACAGTGTAGGAGCCACTCCTTTATAAAGGCTCAAGTGGCTGAATTCTAACTTGGTCAAAGAGCATGCAGCTGCTTTACTCTGTGACCACGTAGCTTAATACAGCGAGTTAAGTTAGGGGACAGTGCAAGTGCACAGGAGACATGATCTCTTTACACTTCTTGAGTCACAGCTCCCTCCTGGAAGCTTCTTGAGGGCATTCAGTGCACGTTTAAGTTCTTTACTGAGTCCCTGTATTTAGAAGTCCTGTCATTGCTCTTTTACCTCTGATGTTACATTCTCGTAGACAAACCTGGAAAATCTGAAAAGTCAATGGAGGAAGCTGAAACCCTGTGTTGATGATGAAGTGCTGGTAGGTAGAGTAAGACAATCACTTACTTAGGAAGTAAATACATAGACTGTATGGATGGATTGGGCCTCCATCGTGGTTAATTTGCCATTAAGGAGACATGGCCCAAGTAGGGAGGCCATTGTGTTAAAAAGTCATCTTACTTTTAAAAATCCTTGAGTTAAATACATCGCTTCAAAAGTTTTCCTTCCATTTTCTCAAGAAATTTCTATTAAAGGGTTCAAGGGTATCGCCGGCGCAGACAGACACCTGGTCAGTGCTGCCCTCCCGTTTTCATACTCACACTCGGGCTGCGTGGCCACTTTGATGGGCTGCGAGCTCTCCCCGGGCCCCCACTCGTTGTAGGCCACGACGCGGAAGGTGTACATGGCTTCTGGCTTCAGGTTTCCCACGGTGAGCTGAAGGGACCCAGGCTGGGTCGTGTTCAATGCTCGTTCCCTGGGAAATCAAAGTTGCAGGGAAAGATTATTTCAGCATCCATACTTTTAGCCAAAACCTTATTTAATGTGCGAGAGCAGTGAGGTGGGGAAAGGATTGCTTCCTCATTTAATGTCGACTCTGAGACATAATTCAAGACCTCGGAGAATGACTATGGGAAATAAACTGCCTGGAGGACCTGCAAATGAATGTTTCAGGGTTACTGGGGAGTTCAAGTTTGTGTCATTTCCATGAAACTTGCAAATTAAAGTCTTTTCCCTCTGACACTTTACAATTTAGGATTCAAAACTTAAGACAAAGAGCTATTAAAATAAGAAGAAACATCTGGAATGCAGGCAGGAAGCTGTATTTCACAAACCTCTGGTTAATGACAGGATCAAGGTTTCAATTATTCCACAAATCAGTCTCTCTCAGTATTGCCAACAAATGTATTCCTGCCTTCTCTTTCATTGTACAAAAGGGAGAGGCAGATGCTAAGTGCTAATGCGTGCGGAGTGTGAGCCCCTGTGGTTACGTCAAGAGCAATTAGTAAAAGGAAGTGGATCCCCCTCTGCGAAGAAACAACAACAAGTCTCCTTGCCTTGTTCTTTTAGCACCACCTACCTGTGTCCGATTCTTTTGCCAATTAGCAGCTTCCTCAGTGGTTCCAAACAAAAGAAAAACCTGCTGATCGTCCTGGGATTCACAAAACGTGTTAAAAGGAAACAAACCGTATGGACCTGGGTGCTGATGTGTAAGAAACGAGAGCTACTAAACTATTCTTTAAGGACACACATGATTTTATACCCTGATCAGCTTCGTATAACTGAATGAATGGGTGGAGAGGGAAATCCTTCTAAGCAACTCAACTGTTTCTTAAAGTTTCTATTTCTGATAATATCTCTTACCTCTCAGTGGAATTATATGTAGGTTTTAATTTTGCTGTCTGGTTTTATTTGGTTTGGGGACCTCTTTAGAATGAAACCTTTTTTTTTTTTTTTTCCTGCCAGGGCAAATATGGTTTCCAAAAAGTTTTAAGGAAATGAATGGTAATTCCTGGGCATGTACATTCACTCTGATGTCACTCTGACTAACACGCCAGAAACTGGCTGGCTCATCCTCAACCCATTTCTTCTTTTTCGGGTGCTGGACTCTATTTCCCAGCCCCCCCGAAGTCTAGATGAGGCCACATGACTGAGCCTAACAAATGAGTTTGAGTGTGTGTGTTTTGTGCCAACTCTAAGGTTGGCCTAGAAAAACCACACATATGGGGTGGAGCAAAAGTAGGGTTACAGTTGTTCCGATGGAAAATAACATAATAAGTAATAAATAATACAAGAATAAACTCAGGCTTTTCACATGCTCACAACTGTACCCTGCTTTCGCCCCACCCTGAGCAGTTTCCTCCGTGCTCTCTCCCTGCAGCCTGGGCTAGCCGCAGGCAGGAGAGGTGGCCCTGGAAGCCACGTGCTAATGACGGAGGAGTCAACATTTGCAAGGATTCTGAGGAAGAGCTGGGAGAACTGTCTTCAGCCACCAAATCCTTTTTCTACTTTATAGAATCGGGAACTTTTGAGCCATCATTGGTTACTGCAGTTGGCGTTATTTTATGCAGTACAGCTCATAAATTAAAATATGCACCCCGGGCCCTTGCCAGGGACTGAAGGGAAGGAGGGATGGAAAGTCAGTCTTTGATGAGCACAACGTTTCGTTGGGGAAGATGAAAACGTTCTGGGGGCAGAGGGTGGTAACAGTTGCACAAAAGGGTGAATGAACTATAAACGGCATGTCACGTATATTTTACCAGAATGAAAAAAAAGAAGGCTCTGTATGCGTCTGGATGTCGCGCGAGGCCGAGGTGTTTCTTGAGGGGTGCTGGGTTAGGCTGCCGCAGGGATGGATTGGGACAGAGAGGGCGAGGGGTCTAGGTGGGACTGAGTAACAATCGAAAGTAGGTAAGGGTGGGAAGCATCAGATAATGCTTCTGCGTGCCACATATCACACTGCTCTCTTCTACCAGGCTAAGATAATTTAGGACAATATGTTGCTTTTTAAAAGAAAGTCCTCACAATCAGATGGTATACGGCTTTCGGATGTGGATTTTGCATCTTTTTATTTTTTTTAAGTTCAAGAAATTTTATATAGATTATCTCATATGGCCCTTTTATATGGTTAGGGTGGTGTGATTACCATTACTTCACAGATGCAAAAGAAGATTTAGAGAAATACTATTC